TCATCAGCAACGAATCATCTCAGCTTTTCAGCTGTCAACCAAGCAGAACGCAAGTAAACGAACAAAATCTTATCTCTGCTGAACTGGTGTCGAACTAATTTAAGCAGTAAACTTAAGACAAACCTCTGTTTTGTGAATTCTCTCAGGTGAATTTAAATCACTCGTGAAGACGAGTTAGAACTTTGAACGTCATGCAACCCCGTCAACTCTCATTCTAAAGAAACTGTATGTTTGTGTGTATGTGTGTTTTAGCTTAGTTTTGATGTAATCTAGAGTAGCCAATAAAATTCATGTTTCATTTATAAAGAATCATTGTTTGGTGTCATATAATTTTAAGGTTAAACCCTTTGCCAAAGATTACGTTACCTCTCTAAGAGCTTACAAATTATTATAATCGTATTAACCCGTGGCCAGGGAGAATACAGATATTCAAATTGTTAAAATATACTAAGAATCACCGGCTCGCTGGACGACCCTTGATTTAAAGTGTAAACTATCAGATTTGAATTCAGCTTTAATCAGGTTGACTCAGAATTTTCAGATTCGAGTCCTTTTAAAACCTGAATGAATTAATAATAATTAATTCCCTTACAAATGAGTTAAATTCATTACAAAGCAGTTTAATATTTGAATTTGAGCAGAGATGCACCGATCGACCATCGGCCATAAATCGGAACCAGACGTTTTTTTGTTGTTTTTTTTATGTTTTTTTTCAGGGTCTGTAAACCCAAAGAGGAGAAAATTAGCAGGCAGAGCAAGCTCACTGTTCACAATGCGCTAAGTATGAATGTATCGTGTGAATGATCGTGGTGGAATTGGCTGCGATGCAAGGGGCACCAGCTAAAATCTTGCCTAGGGCACCAAATTGGTTAGGTTATACAGTACAAGAGCGGCACCACGTGCTGTTTGTTTTGACAGGTGACACTGCACGCTGCACAGAGCGGGACACTTTAAAACAGACAACGAAACAGTGTGTACACAGTGCACTATAGTGCATGTTTTCATATCATTACTAAGTAATTAATTTGTTGACTAGATGCTGCATTTTAGTGGAGAAAGGACAGCAGTATGTTTGCTCTCAAGGCTGAGAGGACGCGAACATTAGCAGCACCTCAAGCGGTTAAAACAATAGCTGCATTTCCATCCACCTATTTTTATGCGCATTTTGGAATATCGCATAAAAAAACGATGCCAAGATGCGCATAAATTCTAAAAATGCGCATAAAAAACTTATGCGCACATTTGAGTAGGATAAACTTTTTATCCGATAAGAAAAAATGTGCATAAACTACGATGGAAACACATTTATCGAATAAATTTCTCCATGCGCATCGAAAAAGTCATGTGACTTTGCACTATGAGACAGGATAACTTGACTAGCAGCGGACCGATCTCGTTCACAGCATCTATATGTTGTTATGGTCATTCTGAAATGCCTGTGCCAAGTCTGTCGTTAAAGTATTTCTGAATAATTGTCTTACACGACTACGTTACCAAACACCTGCAAAAGCATTGACAGCATTTATTGTGTTACGTCTGCTCGCTCTGAGGTGCAAGTAATTTATATCATATATGAAAATTATTATATTCAGTGGCTTCTCCTATATTATTAGTGATATTTAGCGCCACAGTTTCTCAGGAAGTGACCATTTTGTTCTCTTTGACTCGTTGGATGGAAACGGTGCTTTATTCGCATATGTTTTATGCGATATTCCAGTTTTGCGCATAAGTTTTAATTTGAATCTTTGGATGGCTAATGTGACCAAAACACATGCAAGTCTGATGCAAATGCTTAATGTCACGATTGTTAACATCTATTTGCATTAGTTTATATCCAGCTGGTCACTTTAATGCATTTGCTATCCAGCGAAATTGCAGGTTTAAAGCTGTGACGCGAGACAGACACGTTCATTCAGCCAACAGAAATCCTGCCGCGCCACAGAGCGCCATTCACACAGTTTTCCATTAAATTACATATTTGTCCCAAATCGTTGTTAATGTACATAATGACTTCACCCTAGGGCCTAGGCTGTAAAATTGTGTATTCTCCATTTTTCAGTGAAATGTTTGTCTTTCTGTGGCTCTAATAAAGTCTGCATGCTTCACAGAGAGAGGTATAGATCGTGCTTTTTCTTTCCATTTTGTGTTTTTTTTTGTTTGTTTCTGTTTTCTTTTTAACACCGAACTTCAAACTCATCTATGCCACTTTTCGATCATTTTTGAAGTGAACTTTTGCCCAACTTTTGTGCTTTTTGCCCGGTGTGCGACTGCCCTATTTTGTCATTTTGATTAGATAATCATCACGTGTTCTAGAATAGAAGCAATTAAAGTGTGAGAGTATATATACAATATCCATATGTATATGTAATTTCAATGCTATGGCCTTTGTGTAGATATTTAAAGCTGGCCATCTAGTTAGTGTGTGTTAATTTCAACATCTACTAATACATTTTTACATTTAGAAGTTTAATGATCAATATATAATTATTATTTTATATTCATATTTTTATTCATGTACAAAGTATGGTTCAGTACTTTTTTATATATAAATGCACTATTTATTTTTCGTTTAGGAATCCATTTTAAAAACTATCGGTTGATTAACTGGTATTGGCCAGTTTGGTCCAACCTAGCTAAAAACCTAGGTAAAATCCACTATCGGTCAACCTCTAATATATAGATATATATATATATATATATATATCTATCTATCTATATATATATATATATATATTTTTTTTTTTTAAGGTCTGACAATGATGCATAAAAAAAACATGGTATTTGGGTGAAATTTTGTCATTAATTAGAAGCTTGCCAATATGGACCAGTTGACATGTCCTTAACCTCAAAAATCATGACCAAAACAACTCATGGTAAAACAAAATATGACCTGAAATGTGGATAAGCATGGGTTTGTAGCGCCCATGTGTTTCATGTGATTAATTATTGGCACAAATAAAAGCACTGTCAAAATCAAAAGGCAAAAATAAATAAATAAAATAATAATTATAATAATCACACTTCTACTGTTTGTGCATTAACAAAAACGTCACATGGCACATGTTAATATAATAACTTTTTTTTACAAGTTGTAAAGGTGTGCAGTACGTTAAAATTAATAAATTGATTTGATTGGTTTTAAGAACCCTTTTGTTAACTTTTGCTGTACAAACAATTCTAGTGCTCTGTTGGGTTACAACTTGGTGTTAAATTTAAAATATTGGTCTCCAAAGGGATAGTTCACTCACAAATTTAAATTGTCATTATTTATTCACCTTCAAATCATTCCAAACATTTCTGTGGCGCACATAAAAAATATAGGCCTAGGCCTATATATTTTCAAGATGTCTCAGTGTTTTTGCACATACAATTAAAGGTATGGATAAAGTACTGTTTTCCAACATTTTTCAAATGTCTTCTTTTGTATTCATATGGAATGGCATGGGGGTTAGTAAATGATGACATAACTTAATTTATGGGTGAACTATTGCTTTAAGCAACATCACATGACAACCACTGACTTGGCTAAATGTCATACTTCATCAATGACCACGACATTACAATAACCTGCCAAACACACTTGCATCAACACTGAGACTTAAGTGACTGTTCGGTTTTTCCCCAGAAGCAGGGGAATTCACAGCAAATTAAATCTCACTCAGAGCTTCCTGTATGCACAATGATGGTGCACACATACCACTACTGCATAATGACTACTATCAAGAATATAAGAGGAGACAACGAATGCCTTAATGCATGACCTTTTACAGATATTGCACATGTCATCTCCTGCCATCCTAAAAAGGCCAACACAGTTTTGAAAAACATAACCCTTCATCCTATCTATGCATTGTTTGCCATGCTGGTAAATATTAGGGATCTGGGCAAACACGCCAAGGGGTTTTAAGTCAAGCCAAACCTACTTGATTTTTGGCCGAAAGGTTCAAGGAAGTCAATAATACCTGGACAAAGCAATCTGTTAGCATTCCCATTGTTCGGCTGTTATTTTAAAGTCAATAATCTGAGCTGTGAATGACATTGTAAAATAGTGAACCACAGCTCTGAAAAATACTAAATCACTGAAGGCCTCCAGCTTTGAGCAACAACGTTTATGTTGACTGTCTTTCCTTCCACATCATCCATCCTTTAATATTCAACAGACAGTGATCTGAGAAGTTGATGCCTTGTCAACATAGAAAACATGCAGAGCTGCGAACACCTGTAATATGCTGTAATATACCTGTAATACATTAGCAATATGAACAGGTTTTTAAAAGTGCAATCACGGCATTTATTATGTAATACACCAATGTAAACATCACATCAGCGTTATGCACATTCTCTACACAGTGACTGCTGGGTGAAAACGATACAGCAGAGATGGACAGGCCTTACACTAAATAACAATGATCAGGTACAGGACGCAAATTAACAGCTCCTCTTTTAGCTGTTATTCCTAGTCCTAGAGCTCGGTTTACATATAATGTCCTCGCTGGATAACGCTGTGGTGCCATGTATAATCAGTGGATCCTGCTACAGTTACAGATCTAAAACTGATCATGTATCGGAATCAGACTCTAGAGGTAAACAGGTGACATCAGCACGAGCTGATCAGACTCCTCTTACCTGACGTTTAAATATACCGGTTTTCACCCGTCCGTCTTCGATAGCATTTGGACAAAAAATTATTCCAGTGAAGCTCTCGTGGCGCTGCTAGTGATGATGGTGTTTATGTGACATTGTCGAATGGGCTTAGCTGAAGCCAGCGCTGGCTACACTCCGCATTACTACCGGTTAATGGAGGGACAACCGCCTCCTCCGTGCACTTTAATACCGCTGGGGAAAATCTCGGCGAGACGTTGAGGAAAACACGAAAAAATCCGGTAATATCGGTAGAGCCGAGGCCGCTGTTTCATTTGAAATCAGTGTGACTATTATTTACTGTGTGTGATTGTGTATCTGACGGCTCAACCAGACTTGCTACAGTAGTGGAGAGAAACTTGCTCTCCTATTGGCCAGTGAGTGACAGCTATATCTCTGATTGGTCATTTCGGATGTCTTTTATTTCGCCCCGCCTCTTGGGGTTTTCCAGTAGTTTGGCTGAGGAGTTTAAGGAACTGGCAATATGTCAGGTTGTACATTACAGTTTATTTCCTTTCAGTTCTTCCAAGCATTTAGGCAGAGGCGGTCAGTAACTAAGTACATTTACTTGAGTATTGTACTTGAGTACACTTTTTGAGTATCTGTGCTTTACTTGAGTATTATTTCTTCTGGAAACGTATGACTTTAACTTTACTACATTTGAAAGACAAATATTGTACTTTTCACTCCACTACATTTCTATCAAGGTCCTCGAAGTAGAAAGTCGTTACTATGTAGCAGCTTTGAAAGTCAGTGGGTGATTTTTTTCTTCTCTAAAACATGACTTTCTTTTTTTCAGACAGTTTATCAGTAATCACTCTTGTAGGGCTACATTAAATGATTTCCCAGCATTTTTTGAACACTGACACTTTATTTAAAACAATTCAATAATAAGAAGTTAGTATTGTGGTATATATTAGACACAATATTGTCTGATTTTGCTAAATTGTGTATGTGAAAATATTACCTATAAAGCCACAGAAGAACTGTTGTGCATCTCCTAATAAAACACAATAGGTGTTGGACTTGAAGCAGAACTGCAGACCGTTCTGTGTGTGACAAAGTACCACGAGAGCGATTAGACAGCATTTAAAATGTTTGTTTTGATGTCAAATAAGTCTTGCTGTTTTGCTTTTTTGTTAAAGCAGTGTTGCTGTTGTAAAGTTATACAGCTACAGTTGTGTTGCTGGGTTTTAAAGCAGGTTTGATTTTTTTTCTTCCTTATCACTCTGTATTTACAGGATTTCACTGTCCACTCTGTTCAAATGTGGATGAATGGCTACACATAGATGTGTGCACACACTGTCAGAACTGTGTGAGATCACTACCATCCTGCTTTTGTGGGGGTGTAGGGGTGTTAAATAATTTTTTGTTTTGTTTTTTCCCCATAGGTTTTTAACATTTTAAAAGCTGTTTATTCCAAAGATACTACAAGCTAGTCAGTGTATTCAGTATTGTAAGTTATTTCAGAGGTATTGCAAGTATTACATACAACAATAATAAAACAGTGCATTGACATAAAAAAGGAAATTTACTTTTGGTAATTAAGTACTTTTAAAACTTCTGTACTTTTACTTAAGTAAAAGTCTGTCTTTACAACTTTCACTTTTAATGGAGTAATATTTGACCAGCAGTATCTGTACTTTCACTCAAGTAATAGAGTTGTGTACTTTGTCCACCTCTGCATTTAGGTCTTTACTTATTTATTACTGCAAATATGGATGCATATTAAAATTATTTTATTATTACTATTAATTTTGTACTTTTTTACATTTATCCTAGATGGAAGCTCCTGTATCAGTAAACAAATGTTTAATGAATTTTGTGTGAAGACAAATAAACAAATAAATCCATGGTTATTATGCAACTTAATATAAGTCATAGAAGGTGTAATTAAAACAAAAGGATTCAAAACCATCATAACAAACTCTGACATTCTGTGATGCAAGTAACGAACCTTAAAAAGATTATGAATATACAATACAAAAATTTGTTTTTAAATGAAATACTATGTATAATAAATGTAACCTGGGAATCAGTGCAAGGGACAGCGTCATACAAATGTTGTGTGTTACCAGTCCCTCCTTTAGAAGTTCAGATTGTGTACTGGCTTGACAGTTTGAATGTTCCTTATTAATATTGTGAGGTTTTTGTCTACAAAGAAACTTTTACAGATTCAAGACACAATGGTAACAGGGGATCTCAGTCATTGTCCATCCCTATCTGACATTCTGATTAGTACCGTGGATACTTAGCTTTTAAGCTATACCTGAACACCATTATAAGCATTTTACAAGAGAGGCACTTTTGACTAGCTAAGCCATGGCTTCCTACTTGTGCATATGTGTGTGCCTCAGTTAGGTCCAGTCTTTTTTTTTTTTTTAAGGAAAATTATGGGCATTAGATTTGGCAGTTTGGTGGCAGGCTTTACAGAGCTGTCTTGCCCTCAGAAGGTCAATCTGCTTTCTTGCTTGCTCAGTTCCTCCTCTTCCTCTGGGCTCAGATTATTTCCTCTTAGCCTTTAAGAGCAAAAAAAGAGCAAAAAGCCTCTGTATTAACACAAACCATTCACCGGGCATAGGTATTAATGTAATAAAGCGTTTAATTTCTATTGAGATTGAATGGTATAAGATGTCACAATGGAACCTGCAGTTAAACACCCGACTATAATCCTTTCAGCAAAATTTAAACAGTTAAACGACCATGAATAATTCATTAAACAGTCAAAAAAAAAAAAAAAAATTTACAAAAATGTCTAACTATTGTTTTGGCCAGAAATATTGTAATGAATAAATAATATGCAAATGTATAAATTTCACATGTGACAACTTGAGTACACAATTTAACTTGTCTGTTAACACTTCTGTTAAGTTTTGACGGAATGTATGCTATAGTGGTTTTATTGTCTTCGCCTGTTTATATATTGATGAGAACAAAATATAATATTGGGAATTTAGTTTGGCAGACTTTATATACAACTTAAGAGGGTTTGAACAAGGTATTTAAAACCAACATACAATACAACTGTTAGAGAAAACACACATTGGTCTGATTGGACCTTTGACTCAAGTGAAATTAATGAACATTTATTGAGTAAAAACAAGCACACACAGTCAGCTAAAATAATTAAATATGACCTTACCAGACTTCCTTAACACTAGAGTTCATTTTCAGTGCCTCTATTAGACACTCAACCCCCTCTCTGCTGATAGAGTTTTTATTTAGCCTAAGTGAAAGAGAGAGAGAGGGCATGTAAATCTCATAAAGAAATAAATGAATAAATAAATAACAAACAAAGTGGATTAAATAAGTCACTCACCACAATTCCTCCAGAGTTTTGCTCTGACTGATAAGTTTCGCCAGAGCACATGCACCTGCACTGCCCACACCATTATCCACCAGACTGAAACAAACCAATATTATCACTACCCACAAAAAATAACACATGCTGCGTGCATACCATTGCTTGGTGCTCTGCAAATTTAGTTTCATTTGACTGGGCAATTTCACTATTTAGCATAAACTTTTTTTTTTTTTCATATTTATACATGGAATGCAGAATTATTGTAATATAGGATTAAGAGATAGGACTAAGACAAGATTACCTTAGCCATATTAGCGTTGTGCTATTTTTCAGTGCATCTGCCAATGCCTCAGCTCCCCTGTCCCCAATTTTATTACCCCAAAATCTGGAAATAAAAAGTCAGAATGGAAATACAATTTATTATAGGCACATTATTGGAACATACAAAAACGTATTACTCTCATTATTGACCTCACCCTAGAAACTGCAAAGACTGGTTGTAGCTTAGGCCTTCTGCCAGCTGCTCTGCTCCCTGCGATGTGATGTTATTATTTCCAAGTCTACAAAACAATGATATATTTTGTATGAGAAACATGTTTCAAGATGTGCAGTACAACCTGAAAAAAATGTTAAATGTTAAAATAATCAGCATCCCACTGGCCAGAAAAAGCACATAATAACCTGACCTGAAATAAGCACTGACCTCAAAGACAGGAAGTTCTGCTTTGATTTTAACAGCCAAGCAAAGTGTTGGATGCAAGCATCTGTAAGGTTGTTGTTAAAAAGCCTGCAGAAATATTGAGGTAGTAATGAAACCTGGTTATGCTAAGTAATATAATAAAATATAAGTTATGCATAAAATGCAGAGTTAAGATGTTCAATATTCTCACGCTATTTTTTGGAATCTTTCACACTTCATTCCCTTTTCCAGAAGTTTCCGGATTCCTTCATCTGATATGTTATTGTTCCTTAAACTGCAGGATTCAGAAATTCTAATAAATCCATTTGCAAAACAGTTTTCAGAAAGAAAATGAAATACCCATATATGAAAAATCGGTCACCATGTACTTTTCCCCACATCACTCCAAACCTGTATTACCTTCTTTATTCTGTAAGATATTTTGAAAAATGTTGGGGTCCAAACGACATTGTACTTCATTGACTTGCATTATATGGACAAAAAAAAGAGGCATTTTCAATGTTTCACAGAGTAAAGAAATGCATTCAGGTTGAGTAATTGAAAGAACAAGTAGATGATGAAATTTACATTTTTGGATGAACTATTCGTTTAAGCAACAATTATAACAAAACCTCTTACTAAAGGGAGTGACAAATATGTAGACATGGAAGAAGCTGCTCCACGCCCACATCTCCAACTGAATTGTTGTCCAACTGGAGCCCAACAGGATTCCGCAGGTACTTCAGCACATACGCCAGCGCAGTACATTCCACTGGTCCAATGTTACAGTAGGTGAGCTTCAGGTGCTCAACATCCAACTTAGCCATGGTATCTTGAGCAATACTGCTGTCTTGCATTTCATAGATACACTTAATTAGCCAAACAAAACTTGGCATGGCATGCATGCTCTTCTTTTCACCCTCTACAGGACGAGGAATGGACTTGAAATGTCTCTGCATACCTTTAGACAAAGACTTAACTACCTGCTTGGCCTTGTGTTCCCGCACAGCAGTAGGACAGCAATCCAGCAAGAGATTATGGTGCCGCTGGGATAAAAGTCCTGACACAAACTGAGCTGTAATCTGGAGGTTCGGTGTCTCTGTTACACGGGACTCCCACCCCTCTACAGAACTGTCAATGCAGTGTCCCAGACATCTTTGAGACAGGCCCGACAACTGCTTGTACTGGGGCTGAAAGAGTCTGTAGATAACAGAACGATCGCTGTTACGATTCAGAACGACATAGAGAGCAGCGAAGAAGCATTGTAAGGTGATGTGCAGAAATTCATAGCGTTTACAGTCTGTAACAGATAGGTCATTGCAGTAAATGAGGAAGCCCATGCTAACA